AAATTTAAATTTAGTACAGTAGTACATGTCATATTGACACAGTGATACACAACAATATCACAAATTCTACAAGTCAATGTCACACTGCTACAAGTTAATGTCACACTGATATAAGTCAATGTCACACTAGAAGGGATACTAGTGATATTTTTTATAATAGAGGGAGTGTCCTTAAAAGTATAATAAACTAGAAGGAATGTGGTTAAAATTTTTCCAAAACATCATTACACCTCTTGAACGCTGCCTCCATGGTCTGCAAGCCTTAAAGAAAATGAATCCTCTCATAACCCTCTTTTTTCATGTACAAATTCATGGTGGTTTCTACAATCCACAACCCTCCTTTACGGTCCACCTCAACATCGAGAATGTTCAACACCTTGTGCTTCAACTCCTTAGAGAGTTTTACAATCTCAATGAGTCCTCTTGATCGGAAACAAAAGGTTTTGGACTCCATTGATACTTTGATCGAGAGTTAATTTTTCAATAAAAGAAAATCGTCTGGATCCTTTGGAATTAGGACGTTTTGAAAAGAATGGAGGTTTTAGGGAAGTTTTCTTATTAATCTTGGAATAATGGAGGTTTCAGCGATATTGAAGGAGTTTTATGGGTAACGGTTGATATCCCTGATATTTCGGTTGTGGAGGCAAAAATATAAGAATCGGTTCTCATTTTACTTAAAGGGGTATTTTAGAGATTTGTTAAAGGTTGTGTACTTTTTGACCTATATTTTTAAAAATTGTACTTTTTGCCCTATAATTTCTAAAAAAAGGCACCGGCCCTTTAAAACCCTAAATAAATTATGTCAAAAAAAAAAGAAAAAAATATTAAAAAAAGCATATGAACAGTCTCTGTTAAAATAGAGAGAGAAAAAAAAAAAGAAAAGAGTAACCAACGGCGAAACGCATAGATCTGAAGCATAGATGTGGTGACACATATTGTTGAAGCAAAAGGAAAGAAGAAGAAGGGGAGATGAAGAAGATGGCTTGAAGCAGATTTGATGGCAGATCCATCGTCGAAGCCTTCTCCATTTTTTGAATCAAATCTAGAGGAGATCCGAGGCCCTTGCCTTGAAGCAAATCCGAAGCCTGTGCCTCTTGTTATCTACTCTGGTTTTCCTTTTCTTTTCTTTTTTTTTTAATCTTTTTCTAAGCCTCATATCTCCGATATATCCGAGCCCTGTTCGACTACCAAAAATTCTTATTCGCTATTCAGAACGCTCGTAGAAGTGTTGGACAAGTGTCTGGCCATGTTTCACGTATATCTGTGCCTGACACCGCCAAGTTTACCTCTCAGCGAGGATTTGTGCTTCCTAGCAGAGTAGGCAATGGAAACACACAAAAAAAAAGAGTATCAAGTTTAGCATCACAAAAAATAGGAGAAACAGTGCCATTTCACATTACATTCTCCATTAATTCACAACTTTACATGAACATCAAGCATTCTAAATTTTTAAATCTCTTTCTCTCTCCTAAAGACGCTCATTTTCCGGGGACAAAGTTTGTAGCATAAGCCCAGGCATTGTTGTTAACTGGGTCAGCCAGGTGGTCAGCCAAGTTCTCCAATGGGCCTTTTCCGGTCACAATGGCCTGGACAAAGAAACCAAACATGGAGAACATGGCAAGTCTACCATTCTTGATCTCCTTCACCTTAAGCTCAGCAAACGCTTCTGGATCCTCAGCAAGGCCCAATGGGTCGAAGCTTCCACCGGGGTACAGTGGGTCAGTCACTTCTCCGAGTGGCCCACCGGCAATTCGGTAACCCTCAACAGCACCCATCAAGATAACCTGGCAAGCCCAAATGGCCAAAATGCTTTGAGCATGGATCAAGCTTGGGTTGCCCAAGTAGTCAAGTCCACCTTCACTAAAGATTTGGGCTCCGGCCTTGAACCAAATGGCCTCACCGAACTTGACCCCATTGCGGGCCAAGAGCTCGGGGAAGACACACCCTAGCGCTCCAAGCATGGCCCATCTGCAATGGATCACCTCGAGCTCACGGTTCTTAGCAAAGGTTTCCGGATCAGCCGAAAGCCCAGCAGTGTCCCACCCGTAATCACCAGGGAATTCACCCGTGAGGTAGCTCGGGGGATCACCGGAGAATGGGCCCAAGTACTTGACACGGTCTGGGCCGTACCATGGACTGCCTGATGGGACGGGCTTCCCTGTTTTCCTCATGGAGATCCTTCCATTTCCTTGGAGCTCGGGGGCAAAAGGCAAGAGTTTCACCGCCTTTCCGGCAAAAGATGGGGAAGATAGAGCCATTGTAGAAGCAGCCATGGTTGAGACTGTGTTGAAGATATTAAGCTCTCTGGAGGAGGAATGAGTGGTGGGAATGGCCTGATAGTTGGTAGTTTTTTATAGGGTTTTAAGGGTAGGATTCTCCTTATCACATGATATCTTTATCTTGGTTTTGATTGGTTTATAAGATTCTTTACTTCTTCGTGTCTCTCTCCTCCACTTGGCTGTTTCTCATCCACCAACTTCTAAGATTTTCTGTATGGGGTTCCAGCCAATGTGGTTGTCCCAAATGTGGTATGTTTGGATTAGATTTATGCCAACGGCTAGATATTTTAGCCAACATGTGATGATTTCCATTGATTGAACTCAAATGCTTACATGCTATTGATATGGTTCAATTGATTATGCCTTAGCCTTACATTGAATGTTAGGGTCTTATGGATGATACTTGTCTATAAGAACCATCATTTTATTATTAATTAAGGGACATTTGGTAGCACTTTTTTAAGCTATTTTTTAAGCTAAAAAGTAATGTCATCGTGAAAGCAAAAGCATATTAAATCACTAACTAATAATAGTGATTTATATGAATTTTAGTGAACAAATAATAAAATTATATACATATATATATATACATGTATGTGCACTAAAAAAAATGGATATAATTAAGCTAGGAAGAATGAAGTAAGTTCGAACAAATTAAAAAGCACAAAAATAATTATAAAAAAAAAAACGCCTTCTTTTAAAATAGTAGTTGCAAAACCCAAAATGTAGGAAAAAAAACACTTTGAACATGAGGAAATAGTACTTCAAAATCAGACACTCTTATGCACCTCAGATCACTCAAATCATGTCTGCAACTGGAATATTTAACAAAACCCAGATCCAAGCCCAAACGTAAACCTAAACCTGACTGACAAACTCAAATTCAAACTCAAACCCAAACCCAACTTCTTTGGTTGTCCTCTTCTACCAATCATATAGCAAATTAAAGTTAATTTTATTCACCTCAGGAAAAATCATCAAAGATTGGGTTTGGAGCAATGACAAATGCGCATGCCTCCAAATAATTCATGGAGGGTTCACACTCGAGAATCTTTTGACAAATATTCATTATAAACGAGAGTTCTTTGCACTTGATGCTATTTTTTTCTAAGAATAAATAAAAGGTTTTAACTCTAGAAGTAAAATTGCATATGTTAATATCTCTGTCATTGAAGGAATGATATTCATTAGCCTATATCAAATGAATGACTCTCCTTACTAGTCATACTACAATTTCATATCTCTTGAATTTATTTAGCATCAATCAGCTTGCAGATTTACTATATTTTGAGGATGTCACATGCTGATGGAGGACTCCTTCCCACCATCCATGTAATTCGTCCCATTCTATGTCCACATATTTCTTTGAGAAGCTTGGTGCCGCATCAGTTATAATGTAAGTTCTCCATGGAGTGATAGCACTATCCGATTGCACAAGTGGCAGTCCCCGATTGGCCTAAAACAGGAGTTTATAACATTGCATGAGATTTTTGATACATCATGCACCTCAGAAATCTAAGGATGGGTAGTGGTATAGACATTGCCAAATGGGCAAGCAATAGGAAGCTCTAAAATGTTATCAGCCAATGAGAATATAGATTATTATATCAAAAAATATTGGATCTTTGGACTATCCAAGTCATGTTTGTATATAGAGGTTTTTGGAAGCCGGTACACCTAATTAGACTTATTTGGTAAAAAATACATATTAAAAAATGTTTTAGAAAAAGGTACACTAGTTAAATACAAAAACATAAATGTCCATTTTAGAGAAAGTGGTGCATTAAATATCTCTTAGTTTTATGGGAGAACTTTAATATTTAATGTACATTGATTCATGTGTATTTGTTAATATATATATATATATATATAACATTTTTAATTTGTTAACATTGAAAGTGTAACACTTTCACACTTTCTCAATTAATTAGCATTTTTAGTGTAAGATGAGATATGTATATTCTGTTTGTGTAACACTTTAGGTAATATCTCCACTTACTTTGTATAAATAGCTTGTTACATTGTTATTGCTACACTGTTATTGTTACTTTAAATATTACCCTATAACATTTTACACTTTGTATTAAGAAAGGTGAGACATAAGATAATACTTTATACTTTACACCTATATATATATATATATATATATATATATATATATATATATATATATATATATACACATATATGTATTTATTTATTTATATATATATTTATATATATATATAATATATATAATATATATAATTATTTATATATATATATATATATTTATATATATATAAATATTTATATATATATATAAATATATATGTATGTATGTTATTTATGTGTGTATATATATATATATATTAACAAATACACATGAATCAAGGTGCATTAAATACTAAATTTCTCCCATAAAACTATGAGATATTTAATGCATCACTTTTCAAAAAACATACACATGGATCAATGGAGGACAAAAATGTCACAAAAAAATTAGGCAAATTCAAATTGTGTACTTAGATACAAATAAGTATCAAAATTAAGAACTTAATAACTCTACATTTTTTAGTGTGTACTTTTTGTCAAATAAGTTTAATTTGGTGTACTCCCTTACAATTTACCCTTGTATATAAATAGTTGCAGCCCAAGAAACTCAAGGCACAACACAACCACCTTTCTTTAGGTCTTCTTTGAACAATTGTTCCTTTCAGCAGTTTTCAATAGAGGTATACAATGGCAGCCTCAATGGCTCTCTCTTCCCCGTCTCTGGCCGGAAAGGCGGTGAAGCTGTCGCCATATTCCCTGGAACTCCAAGGAAATGGAAGGGTGTCCATAAGGAAAACTGCCAAGGCCGTCTCATCAGGCAGCCCATGGAATGTCCCAGACCGCGTCAAGTACTTGGGCTCATTCCCTGGTGACTACGGTTGGGACACTGCAGGGCTTTTAGCTGATCCAGAAACCTTTGCCAAGAGTCGTGAGCTTGAGGTGATCCACTGCAGATAGGCCATGCTTGGAGCTCTTGGGTGTGTCTTCCCCGAGCTTTTGGCCCGCAATGGCGTCAAGTTCGGTGAGGCCGTTTGGTTCAAGGCCGGAGCCCAAATCTTTAGTGAGGGTGGACTTGACTACTTGGGCAACTCAAGCTTGATCCATACTCAGAGCATTTTAGCCATTTGGGCTTGCCAGGTTATCTTGATGGGTGCCGTTAAGGGCTACCATATTGCCGGTGGGCCGCTCGGAAAGGTGACTGACCCATTGTACCTCGGTGGCAGCTTCGACCCATTGGGCCTTGCTGAGGATCCAAAAGCGTTTGCTGAGCTTAAGGTGAAAGAGATCAAGAATGGTAGACTTGCCATGTTCTCCATGTTCTGGTTCTTTGTCCAGGCCATTGTGACTGGCAAGGGTCCACTGGAGAACCTTGCTGACCACCTTGTTGACCCTGTAAACAACAATGCCTGGGCCTGTGCCACCAACTTTGTTCCTGGGAAGTGAGAGTCATAACAGTAATTGAGTTGTGTACTCTATGATGAGGGCTTAATTGAGTAGGGATTTGAGAGTAGTTGGTGTTGTATATTTCCTTGAATTAATGCAAAGCATTGGTAATGTGTACATTGCTTCATTGAAATTGCTAGTCCTCACCTCTGTCTGGCTATAATTTGAAAAATTAAGTGTGACAAAAACATTATTTAATTACGATTTTTCACTGAATTTCACTTTTCCCGACTTATTAGATCTATTGGATTGCATCTCCTACATTAGTTATGAGTTTCAAATTGCCCTCTCGACTGTCACATTTCTCACTTTGTGCCTCTAGTAACTATGTTTATTGTTTTTATGTTGTCTAATTATACATATTAGAAACTGAACTTTACTACAAATTTGGATATTTTTCATCCAAAACATGAATGGCTGTTTGGTTTTGGGGCAATATGAAACCAATGCAGGTAATTGAAGGGGTAATATAAGAAACTCAACAATTGAAGGGAAGTAAGATCAAACTCATAGTTAAATGGGTCAAAGTGTAATTTTCACAAAAAAGAAATGCAAAATTGGGTAGGGAATTCGTTGTCTATATAACAGTCACTTGTACTACAAGAATTTTTAGCAAAGCCAACATTTATAAACGTCGGCAAAAATCGAACAACTATTCAAAAAAGTTATAATTGTCGTTTGGTTTAAATGCCGTCTATTCTAGCATCGGAAAAACTCTCGATATTTTTTTAAACGCCAAAAAATGTATACTTGTGATTTTTTTGATGAAAAATAAGAAATTTTCAAACTCTAAAGGGACATGATTACATCACCGAACCCCTCCCCCCCTCCCCGGCCCAACCCAACTAAATCTACTATTTGGAATTAAACTTTTACATGTACAAGGCTACCTCAATATTTTAACTTGGGGTGTGTTATGTATGTCGTTTTCATCTATTTCAATTATAAATAATCTTTGTTAGATTTTAAGTCAATTTCACTTAATGATACTCAATGAAAAATTACTCACTGTGTATGATAGAGGGTTCCACTTGAAAACTTAAGCATATGAATAACAACGAGTCAAATGTTTGTTAGTTTCTTGTTTCCACACTACTCTTTTTGTGTGAGATTTGATCCTCTCAAATGACTTGCATAGAACAATATGAAAGCTTTAATTGATTGTTAATATCGTTCGAACTGTCAACTATTTTCCTGTATAAACTGTAAAATTTAAAAAAATTTAAACTTTTTTGAAAAATGGCAAAACGGTAATTTGTCATTATAGTGCAGGTTAAAAACTCATATTTTTCTAGAGCTTGGATGACAAAACGAACTTCACTGTTGGATTCATCTCACGAAATCTAGTTATCCAGACAAATTTCGTCAGATTCTGAAATAGTCGGATTTTTTGCTTTTTACGAGGCAATCGGGTCTCGGGCGACCCAAAAACGAAATTTTTAATAAAATTTTGAAATTTGAAAATTAATTTAAAGAAAGTTCATATAAAATATTTTGAACTTAAACCAGAACAAAATTTAATCATTTTTGTGACGAAAATGAACTCGAAAAACAGAGGCATATGGTGCAACGTGCACCAAGCATTAAAGGGTATAAATAGAAACAAAAATATGATTTTTGGATAGAACATTCTGCTGTATTCTAGTGTGTTAACGTGTGAAGAGAGGAAAAGGGGGAAAAGAAGAAAAAAAGAGAAATTCAAGGCATCTCTCTACGTTCTACGGAGTTCCATCGATCGAAATTCTTCAAGTCAAGTATTAAAGTCGATCTCCTCAACAAGGACTACGCAACCATACCAAAAACGAAGACTTTCATTGAAGATTCGAAAAACGAAATTTTGGAAAAGCTTGAATTAGAGCTTGGGTTGAAATATTGAACTTTCTACGTTAATTTTACGCTTCAAGAGGTAGGATTTTCATCCTAACTAGAATTATTTCCAACCTAGGATAAATATATGAAATGGGTGGGCTATTATGTGTATTTTAACACTTGTCTATTGTAGTTGGTTTAATGAAAATGAGTAAGCTAAATTCTAGTGTAAAATGGGTAATTAGAAATTGCTAGTTTGTGATTTTTTGGAAGTTTTGATAATTGGGTACGTGGGAATCACTTAATCTGATTTTTTTTTTAATTTATGTGATAATTATGGACATTTTTATGTGATAACCTAATTTGGTGTCTTAAAGGTGTTTGACTAAATGTCTATGTGAAAATTAAGTATGTTATTGTATAGATTATGTATGACATGCTTGAGAAAATTTGTTATTAAATGTGAATGTTGGTATATGCTTATGATATATTGGTATCGTAATGACTTTATAGAAGTTATATGCTTGGAATATAATTTGCCATGAAAATTTTGAATGTGGTTAAATTAGCCCATATGACATTCATTATATATGGAGCATGATATTGATATTGTAATGATTCATTACATTACATATACACAGAGATATCGCATTTTGTGGGTGTGTGTGCATGGTTTGATCAAACATCATTCTTGGTAGATGATACTTAGGCTAAAAAAAAGTTGGATTGAAGATTCGACTGAGTCACATAGTTTGCATGAAAAAATTGTGTCGGGTATAGTAAGTAGGGCTAGATTCGCCCTTGAGTGCAAGACCTTATTACTTAGTTCATACACTCCCCTGTGGTGAAATTCCAAAAAAGTGTATCGGTGTGTAGAATCGGCGGTGCGACATCAAAACTCCCCTACCTAACAAAGAAACATGATTTTGTTTTATAAAATAGTTGTTCGATGTGTAACGCCCAATAAAGACACATGATTTTGTTTTGTAATAAAAACACATGATTTATTTTAAAAAGATCATTGAATGTATATCATCAATAGCAGATTTATACACATTGGCATTGCAGTGTGTTGTGGAGGCCATAGAGGGCTCGGGTTGAAGTGTATGAGTAAATCTCATCTCATTTCATAGCATGACATGGTGATTTTCAATATTGAATTGCATATTCTTGGTTGGAATGGTTGTTGCTTGCTGAATGTTGCATGTTGACATTTCATATGCATTTAAGTTGGGGAATGACCTCTTTAGGAGATACCCTATTAAACGTGGATCACCTTTTATGGAAAAATATTTCAAGTGCGGGTTATACACCGGTGAACGACTCGTATTTGGGGCTTCAAGGACGAAGAAAAGCCGACTTGTGATTTTTAATTCACGTTTTGTAAAACATTCGCTAAGTTAGTTTTTGGGTATGCAATGTATATAAAAAAATTGTAATCGAACTCATATGAACTGTTTGTAATGTAAAATTGCATGTTGTTATATGAGTATGGATAAATGAACCCGGTGTGGCCAATGTTTACTTATGAATGAATCTGGTGTGGTCAATATTTACTCATAAATTGACCTAGTGAAGTCAATGTTGTATGATTGTACAAGTTGTGTTTTTGGTAGAGCTCCTCATACAAAGGAGACTCTGCCCGAATTTTACTAAATTATGGACCCTAGTAAATGGGGCATAACGACGTGATATTGAGTTACATGGTATCCACGGGTATTCCGTAAGTTGATGGGTGATCAACAGGTTGATAAAGGACCCTCAGTTTTTAAGGCGTCAGAGCTTAGTATCAAAGTTTAGGTATACGATTTACTTAGGGCTTGCTGGACACGGGTCTAGACCATTGTATTCATTATGCATTTCATGTTATGTTCTTTAATATGCTACATGTCATATGTTATATGTTACGTGAATTTAGCATGGTTAAATATATATAGAAAAGAGACACTTGGGTGAGAGAACATAACCTTGGGGGTCAGAAAGAGAATTAATGGGATAGTTCAAGGTGTAAATGTCTACTAGTGGTGGCACACACTCTACTATTAAGACAATGAAAGAAATCTCAAATGTTCAACTTTGATCCCTACTTTGGGATACTAAGTTAGTGCTCTATTATTATTTGACTTATGTGAGGGATTTGGGCTTAGAGGTTGGAATCTTGGAAAAGTCATTGCATGTGAGTTCTCCCCTAGGAGTTAGGGTGAGTATTGATCAGAAATGTCGAGGTTGTGAGTTAGAAATCTCGGTGATTCTACTCACCGAGGACCTTAGGGTCATGGACATGTCGGAGTTTAATGTCATTCTTGGGATTGATTGGTTGACGGAACACCGAGTTATCATCGATTACGATCATAAGATGGTCACTACTTATACACTAGAGGATGTTTGTTTCAAGTTGCAGGGAAAAAAGTATGATGCTTTACCCCAAGCCGTGTATGAGTCTCGATGGCACAGGGAGTTGATGAGTTGGCTAGCGAGCCTTACCCTAGAGGATGAGACAAGGCAGGAGTTGGGTCTACCTCGGGTGGTTTGTGAGTATGAGGACATTTTTTTGGACGAACTGTCGGGATTACCTCTACATAGGGATGTAGACTTCACTATTGAGTTACAGCCCAGTACATCTCCTATTTCTATGACTTTGCACAAAATGACGCTAGCTGAGTTGTAAGAACTCAAGGTCCAATTGTAAGAATTGTTGGACAAGGCTTTATTAGACCTAGCACTTCACCTTAGGGCGGTCCGGTATTGTTTGTCAAGAAGAAATATAAGACTTTTCGACTATGTATAGATTACCGACAGTTGAATTGGATTACTATCAAGAATAGGTACCCTTTGCCAATAATTGATGGTTTGTTTGATAAGTTGAGAGGGGTGCGGGTCTACTCCAAGATAGATTTACGCAGGGGTTATTATCAGTTGAGGGTTAGGGAGGCAGATATCCCTAAGACAGCATTTAGAACGCGGTATGGGTATTTCAAGTTTACGATTATGCCTTTTGGATTGACGAATGCTCCGGCGGCATTCATGGATCTCATGCATAGGGTATTTCAACCCTACCTAAATCAGTTTGTCATGGTCTTTGTTAATGACATTCTGATCTACTCAAGTCTGAGGAGGAGCATGAGGGTCACTTGAGAGTTGTTCTCCAGACCTTGAGAGACTATCAGTTGTACGTCAAGTTTAGCAAGTGT